AAAGTAAACTTTGACTTAGTTTTGCGATACCAGCTGGTAGGATGGTACTTCAGTGCAAGCTTCTGATTTCTGATAGACATTTTTCTTTTGTTTTGTTTTTAAATAATTTAAAATTAAAATTTAACTTAATTTTCTGAAAGCAGATGGCTTCTTGGATGGTACTTCAGCGCGAGCTTCTGATTACTGATGGATATTTAAATTCAATTTGTTTTCTCAACTTTTATTCAATTTAATAATTAATATAGATTAGATAATTTTAATATAATTAACATTTGGGAATAATTCTACAATTCCCTAAGAGAGTAGGATTTGTACTATTTGAGGTACTATATAACCCCAATGGGATTATGACTGAGATCCACGGCCCTTGAAAATCCGTGCCGTACGGGAAAATTAAAGTGGCATATTTTATTTAGAACATTTTTATTTTGTTTTTTTTTTTAATTAATTTAAAAGTAAACTTTTAATTAATTTTCCGAGAACAGATGGCGTGTCGGATGGTACTTCAGCGCAAGCCTCCGAATATTGGTGGCAGATTTTATTTTATTTTTAAATTTGTATTTTTAAAATTTCATATTTTTCTTAGAACAACATTTTTCTTTTGTTGTGTTTTTAATTAATTTAAAATTAAAATTTGACTTAATGTTCCGAAAGCAGATGGTTTCTCGGATGGTACTTCAGCGCGAGCCTCCGATTCGGAATGGGCATTATTCTACAATTTTTAATAATCGCCATTATTGATGGTGGCTGATTTTATTTTATTATTTAATTTGTATCTTTTTTTTAATCAAACTGGGGACTCAAAAATACAATTTGGTAATATGTTGTTCAATAAAAATCTTTTTCGTAAGACCATCCAACTGGGCTCTCCATTTATTTTTATTTTCTCATCACAAGACATATAATTTTTATATAAAATGGCATGGTTTTTGTTTTTTAAGTTAATTGTTTATATGGAATGGAAGCTCGTTTTATTTAGAATTACTTCTGCCCATGTATGGGTTGTATGAAAGCTAAAGAGATGGCAGCCAGCAGAACCTAGTCCCGCATTGGATAAACAATGCCAGTTTCTGGTGCTGCTTTTGCTTTTTTTTGGTTTTGATGTTTCTGCCACGATGGGGATGGCTACGGCGACTACATGCATTCATAAGTGGTAATAATAATTCCGCTCAAGAGGCGTCGCCCGGCGTTTCATTTCAATGACACACAAACCAACAACTGGTGCTTCTGCTGCTGATGATGACGGTGTGCCAGGAAGGGGTAAGGGAAATGGCTAAGGGGCTGGGGCTGGGGTAGACGTACAATGTAGACGATGACGCTGAGACTGCCGCCTGATGATGCCGCTGACGTGAATGGCAAAATGCTAAATGTGAGGTGCAGCCACAGCTTCAGCCAGCCAGCAGGGCTAAATCCGTGTTTTTGTCATCGGACGACCCGCATCGTCAAAGCCGCACATTGTATGTGTGATCCGATATGAGCTGCTTTCCGAGGAGATAGCAGCACAATAGAAATGTAATCTAAATCCAACATGGAACTCGGAGTGCTCTTTTGCATATTTACATAGGTGCCTAATCAAAATAAAAATGTGCCTTTAATGGGAAATGCTTAAGTAGATAATATATTAGAGAATCATTCAAAACACAGGTTGTCACAAACCAGAATAAGAGATATTAAAATATATAACATATAGAATAGAATTATAGAATTCCCTAAACCCTCGTTACTCTAATTTAATGAGAACTCTGCTCAGTGTATCCTGCGCAAGGACAAAAAACAGGATACTCTTCCACATCTCGTTGCGATGGCTTAATATTGCGTATGCTCTGCTCGTCATTCATTCATTGCCCCAACCGACTGTCTATCGGGGCAACCCCTTGGCCCCGCCCATGTGGCCCCCCTTGAAATCGCAGTGTCTGCTGGTGGCTCCTTTGATTGCATTGACTCGTCATGGTCTCGAGTTCGAGTGGTTCCTGGCATCGTGTTTTTTTTTATGCCCCACCCGTTCCTTGGGCTTTTTATAGTTCTCACTCACTCCATTGTGCAGGCATCCTCCTCGTGCATCGTGCCCCACCTCGGCGTTTTTCTCGCTGCCGCTCACTTGACATACAATTATGTTGATGACATTGTTGTTTATATGCCGCTGATGCTTCTTCTCGTCGTTGCTGTTTATTTCCTTCAACTGCAGCACCAGCACCAGCAACAGCCCCAGCCCCAACAGCCACAACAACTACAATGCCGACAATTTTTATGGCCATTCTGAGGCTGCGGTATTCGAATAGGCCCATATATCTGCCGCTCTCTCTGGCGTATCTGGCATATCTCTATGGCCATAGCTGCATTATTGTTGCACCCGGTAAGGGGCAACTACCAGGGTATATTATACGAACCTATCTTAAAGGGTACAATATTCTAGCTTAGTAGGTTAGAATTATACAAAAATTAAATTAGAAAAAGTATAGTTTAGTAAAGAGCATTTATCTTTTGATAACGTTCTAGTAACTATTCTAATGTCGTGCTAAAGATTCTCGGTATGGATATATATAGATTGGGGAAAAATTGTATCTGAAAGACAGAAAGAGATCCCCGCCAATTAACTGCCTTCTCTGCTCACCACAGATGACCCGCAGCAGCCACAGATTAGGCTTAATGAAGAAAAATGAATTGCATCGATGAGTCGACAGATTCAAGTTTCAGCTGGGGAAAGTTTCCTTTGCCGGCAAAAGCTTTATCTAATAAATTTCCACCCAGCACGTAACACAAAATATGCGTGTAAATTTTATATATTGATTTATGGTGAGGCACGTTCATGTGTGTTTGTGGGGTGAGGTGGGTGTGCGAGTGTGCATGTGGAGGGAAAGCATTTGTATAAATACGCAAAATAATGGCATCTCCAATGTGCGAACTTCCTCTGACCATAAATCAAGATGAGCCCGGCCAAACAAAACGATTTTCGTGCCTCGTTCTGCCCTTCGCGAATATACATAGGAAGTAGGTACGTTCGTATATATATTTCAGATAGCCCACCACCCTTTTGGCGAGAAAAGTTCTATTTGATTTCGTATTAGACGCAAAACTGCTGAGCTCACATAAATTCCGCTTTTAAACAAAAATTAGTGTGGGCGGAGGCGGGTGGAACGAAATCAGCCCGAGAGATTAAAGTTGGCAACGTGCCGAAGTACGTGGCTGGGAAATCATTTTCCGGCGAACGTTTTCTGCCATCTCAGCTCGGCTCTGGAGCTCTGAAGCTCGGAAGCTCTGGAACCGAAGCAAGAACGTGAAAAGTTTCTTGAACCGAAAATTACTTGGGCAAATATTGCTTTGTTCAATCGCCGCCGCAGCTTGGAAATTATGAAGGAAAACTTGCAGGCGGAGCAATTAGAAAAGTTTCCTTGGACAACTGTCTCAGATGGTTCAGGAAAAACTTCGTTGGCCGTACAATGCGAGCAGGTCTTGGGCAAGTCCAAGTGAAATGAGTAGTCGGAAAATTTTCAGAAATCTATTGTTCAATTGAGTGAGTTACAATTTTATTGAATATTTTCAAAGTTTTGTTTTTCAGGTAGTGCTCTGTTGCACAGAATCGATTAAGATTCTTGGTCTCTTCCATTAGTTTTGTTATCTAATTTCACACTAAGCTCGAGATATTTCAACTCCCTTGAGTGTAAAATCAAAGAAATGTGTCGGAATTGAAAAATCAATAGCGCACTCAAAGACAAAGAGTCAGCTTTATGGCCAGCGAATCAAATCTAAATTTCCCTGGAAGACAACCCTTCGTTGAGGGCCTTCTGGGGACCTGAGAGCTCTTCTGTTGACTTAACTGCTTAATGAGATTCCCTGTCAAGGTTGAGCGCATGCCCAACGCCCTTCCCGAAATCGTTTAATTGCACACGCGGCCCGTGAAGGCAAAAGTACGGGTCCTATAGTATTCCAGGCAGGGCAACCATACCTGCCTGCCGGCCTATTCCCTATCCCAAACATATGGCGTTCGAACTTCGAATTCATGGCAGCCCGGCGAGTGGCTCGTAAAAAATTATCTCTTGCATTGTTCCATGGCACGGCCGGGGGTGCCCATAAAATCCCAGACCCGAACGCCGAATGCCGTTCACCAAACACCAAACAACGATCCCCGAACCAACCCAACCCAAGTAACAACCAAAAAAACAACCCAAGCGAACCGGCGACGTCGGCATAAATCACTAGGAACTTGTTAATTGTGAGCCTATTTATTAGATGCATTTGGTTTTTCGGGAAAATTGAGGTGGTAAGTGATAGGCAGACACATGCCGCTAAAAGGGGGAACACAGACATCGAACAGGTGACTTTGTGTGTGCCAGACTCTGGCTCGATAAGATACGTGTGTATAAGGGACTCCGGGAAATCAAAGATGCCGTTTCAGAGAATTCATTTTCATTGGACCCGTCCCCATTGAATACGAAAGCTGGCCCCACTCCCACTCAACACTTTCGGGCTGTCAAAATAATTCATTTCATTTGTGGCGGTTCCTGATTGGAAAATGCAATTCATTAATATTATAAATATACAACAATTTAGTTTTCAATTTAGTCACGTTGTTTCTACTGTTCTGAATAAAAATATATCATACAGGTATGTACAAAAAATGTCCAGAAAACGCTGTTGCAATTTTTCACTTTTTGTTGTAGAAATTGGGTAATACTTGACAAATAAATGGGAATTTTTTGAAAATGAAAAGGTATTTGAAAATATTGTTTATATTTTTTTTCATGATAAAACAATGTTTATAACTTGGGTAATACTCGTCAGATCCACATATGTTATACATTCCTAATCTTAGATCTTCGAAAAGCATAATACTCAATAAATTCTCCGAATTCTGACCTCCAAAAGTATTATATCTGACTTTTTCCTGTCTCCGCTTGAACAATTGCTGAGCACATATGATACGTTATTAAATATTAAATGCCGACTCAGTGCAAACAACTTCAATGTTGTTCTGCGACTTGTGATCTCACTTAATCACTCATTTGCAACCGAAACTTGTTTAGCTCAGCTTTATTCTAACGAAATAATCAAATTATTTTGATGCTTCTCGGGTAGTTGCAATTGGGAGACGATATACACAACACCATGTCTTCCAAGACAATCGCAGTGGTGAGTTCTAATGTTGTTATTGGATTTGTGGGTAACTTGCCAATTCCCAGTGGATTTTGGTTCTTTGGATAAACTCCTTTGGGACGAAACCTGCCATTGGAGAAGGACACCAGCTAGAAATCACTCATCCCGATGGATTGGCCTCGCGAAGGGAATCGACGTCAGAGGATGATGAGGGAAATCCACAGGTCGAAGGTGAAATCCAACAAAGGTTTCAGAGCCCGCATGCAGGCACATTGGTTTTAATCTACAAAACTGGATCAAATGGGTACCGAATCAGGTATACCTACGAGGCAGATAGTCAAAAACCTAAAAACGAGACGTTTTCAATAAAAAGAATCGGAGTTAACGCTCTGAAATCGACGGTGGGATGAGTGTAAGTCAATAAATTATCGAAATAATTAGCCCAACCTTGAAGATTGTTTTTGATTATGGGGCGCTGATGTTGTTGATCGAAAACCGGATCTACCAAAGTAATTTGAGGCTTTGGTGAATCAGAATTATAACCATTATATGTACATCTTACTTTCTACTAAAGCTTTGAATAAATTCATTATCTTCGTGACTGAATGCATACCCACAAAAAAAAGACGAATTTCCACAAAACACGATAACACCGTTCCTTCTCATCTATTCATGGAACAATCTATCAGAAAACAATCCAAACCATTTGAATCAACATAAGCGGTAACAAATATTTATGGGCAATGGAGCGAATGTTTCCATTTCGAAGCGCTTATTTATTTGTGAAACAACTTTTCCAGGCAAATACAGACCCCACATATCAAATAGTAAATGTATGTGCTTGCAAATACACAAAATTTCTGTTTCTGTTCAGTTCAGTTTTGTGTATTTCACATGAATGTGTTTTTCTGCCATGCCAGCTAGCATTTAATGTTTTTATTTGGTTTCATTAATGACAATGCTCTCTCGACACCAATATTGACATGTTTTCTATCTGTCTCGTTGTTAGTGGCAAGTTGGGGGATGAAAGGCGTTGGGGTTTTGGGGAAACTATGGCAATGCCATACAAGTTTATAGTACACCAGGCCTTCTTCTGCTTCACAAGGTTTTATGTTTCTAAGAAGGTCTGTTAAGTATCATGTCATGTATAAGGTAATTGGCTTTTTTGAATATAAGGATTAAAAAATGAAAATTATCGCTTAAAGCTATATATTTCAAAAAAGATTTTTCGAAAATATTTTCATAATGAAGAGAGTATTGCAATCTTCGATGTGTTCGACTGCCTCTGCTCCTGGTTCTTTTTATGTTTGCTTAGTTGGTTGACGATGATGATTGCCAACTGTCGACAAGGGCCGCTGTTGTTGTCTATTTATAAGAATTATATTTGCACTCTGCGGGCCCTGCTGTGCTCATTTGTGATGTGTTTTCAGCACACACAGATAGATACGCACGCACGGGGCCCCAGACTTTCAGACCTCCAGACCCCCCCACACACATGTGCTGAGGGTCTTCAATTACTTTCATAAATTATCGATAATTGCCTAATGGGGTTATCACAAAACAAAGGCGCGGAACTATCTCCCAAGACAGACACATCACACACACTCGAACACTAATGGTAGTGGGGATACCTTTTAGCTCAGGTGCAGTGAGTGGGCAAACATCCATTTGAAATTCATAAGCTCATTAAATTTTCAGCAGCCAGCTCAGCATCGAGTAAGACGGCAATCAGCCAGCAGTCAGCATTTTCCCAGACCGGGCAAATACAATTAAAATGCCATAAAGCAAATTAGCCAAGACAAACTTTTCATATTCCGCCGCGAGCTGTGCAAATTAGATGCGACAAGATGGGAGGATGGCCGAAAGCGGGGTGGCTCAAACGAGAGGGCGAAACGGGGCGGTAGCAGGCGGTTTTGGGGGGGCTGGGCAACACTAAAACACATCCTGCGCCTTTCGTAATTGCCAGGCGGCGCACTCGTGCTGGCAACTTTAGCAAATTGTTGGCAATTATGTGGCACAAAGTAAAGTAAAACACAGCGACGGCAACAGAATGCGAAGAGCAGAAATCCGGGCAAAAATAAGCATTCAAAACGGGGGACAGGGGGAATCTCTTTGATGGCCAGATTATCGCAGATTCTTGGGAGTCGACGGTGGGAATACTCGGCATAGAAATGTTTAATCATATCTGATCCCTCCTCCGAAACTAAGGACTTTGAAGTTGCTTCATTAAATTGGAGAAATTAAAAAGAGAAAGGAAAAGAGGTTTTCAGATAAATCGAATTAATTATGCTTCATAAAGTATCGAGTTTTAATGGTTGATGTATGTTGACTTAAACTAATAATATACCCCATGAAACCTAAGCCTTAATACACTATTTTTATCAACCATCTAAGCACTTTGTGAGAATTTCTGCCAACTGGCTCTATTTTTTATTGCTGTCCTTAGAAAACTGTCTACAACTGAGGGGTATTACCAAAAAAATCATACACAAAAATCTAAACTGTGGGGTGATGTCCGTTTCACCAACTCAGTGCACCCTCCCCGGACAGCGCAGTCCCCTCTAGTGGTTCGACAACCTGCTGGCAAGTGTATTAAATTATAATTATTTGTGCATGACAAAGGGTCATGAAACATGCCTAATGACACATTTGCCACAGACTCGTACAAAACGCGGGGCCGCCGACATTATGGTAACAGGACGGCTGCCGGGACGGCAGGGTGGGGTCGTGACTTGCTGGCCCAGGGGGCAGCCTTTACGTGTCCCCCGGTTGCGAGGATAGCGACATGGCTCGTATGTACAATGTCTACGGTTACAATTAACCACGCTCGTTATGTTCGAGGCGTGCGGCAGTCGAAAAGAAATTAAACAAAATTGCTGCAAAACTGAAAATTTCCACTTGTAATGCAACACCACAAACAAATCAGCGGTGGCATGAGGACCAGGCTATTTATGGGGTGTCGAGTCCTTGAATACTCTGGAAATGGCGAAAGCAAACACATTTTTCAAACTGCTGCGACAGACTTCTGATATATATACTCTCTTTTAAATTCATGCCAAGGCTATGTATATTTTGAAGTTAGAGTATCTGGAAAGGTACAAGAATAGGCAAATCGAAACCAAGGATAAAGGCCGACCATGCAATACCATTCCACTCGCCATTCAACCCAGATCCCAAACCCAGAGACCCGCCATGTCAGCAGGTTTTGGACTAATGTCTATTAGGCATTTGCCTTCGCTAAAAGTTGGCTGTTTCCATGGGCCACCACCGGCTCTCCTGTCCGCCCCTTTGACGGGGAAACTTTTTGGTTGCGGCGCAGTGGAATGACCAAAGTTGAGGAGCCAAGGAGCGCGATAAGAGCTCTCGGGAATGTTTCATGTTTTTGCTAAGGCCCTGCAGATAAGATCCTTAATGGTGCTTGCCACATTTAGTTGGCTGCGCTGCTGGTGGAAACTGTTTGGCCTTAGTTTACTGACCATTTAAGAAGTGTTTAAGGAATGTTTCTGTCTGAAAATGCGCATATTTCAGTTTAAAGATTGCCATAATAATGGTATTTCACGAGAAATTATTTAAAAAGCTGTATTGTCTTAAGGCTAACAAATGTTTAGGGTGTTATATCATACTTGTTTTTATGTTTTAGTTTAAACAAGTGATTTTATGGAGCATATGTATTTGATTTGTTGGGTTTTTTTAGACGCGGCGATTTTCAAAAATCTGTTTTATTTTTGCTGTCTAAATGAGTAGGGTGTTGACATTCCACTTCCATAGTTGCCATAGGGATATTTAATTATTCTCATTATATCCTTATATTTCAAATTATTCTTTTGATGATCCCTGATTGGAAAAGCAATTTAGGAACCTGTTTATCCGCCCGCAGCTGTCGTCCCGGCGACTCACTTTCCCTTTTAGGCCTTCAGCTGCAATCAAACACCGAGGCCCAGGCAGTGGCAATATATCTTTTTCCCGCCAGGAGGATTACTATATCGTGTTCAATATTCCGTTCCATTTCAAGCTCATCGCTGGGGGATCTTCCACCACCGTGATTGTCTAAGGAAATTTGAGTCGTGGTCGTGTCGCATTTGGGTTTTCAACCGACTTGAGCTCAGCTTGACTTCATCCTCTGCCACTCTGCCACTTTTGGGCTCTTCTCCATTGAGCTCAACGTGTTGCAGGCAAACAAAACTTGGAAAAATAAAGAACGAACCAAAAAATAAAACAACAAAAACACGGCACATAAACTAGACAAACATCGATAAGAGCCAACGAAGGTCCATTCAAGTGGATAAGATGGGAGTTGGGGTGTACGACGTGCCTAGGAAAATAGAATTTACTAAACAAATACGTGCGTATGGAAATGTATTGGATGAGCACACGGGTAGGTAGACGGACTTCGGTCTACGGTCTACAGTCTATGGGCTATGGACTTCGGACTTCAGGCTTGGGTGTCTGCCCCGGTGACCCTTCCCGCATTTATTTTGATTCCAGAGCAAAATTCGTAATTAAACGGAAACGCTTCAAAATTAGGCAAAAGGAGGAAGTGCCTCAATGTAAATGAGCGTGAGAGAGACGCCAGGGGGCAGGAAGCGAATGATTCCCCGGAGATTATTCATTATTTTTTTACCAATAACACATATGTCTGCGTACCGTTGGCAATAACAGTGCTATACAGTGAACTCTCCATGGAGAAAACTGCAAGGGACAACATTTTGTTGAAAACACAGGGACAATGGCCAGAACGAGGTCCTATTGCATGCATGCTGATTTCTTTCAATGTCACATTCACACACCCCTAAGTTAGACTCTCGGGGCATGGCTTCACTGTCCTGAATTATAGGCATAATATGCTTGGAGGATGATAGCCCATCCATATGCGTCAGGTTGTCGCTCTGGCGGCAATTGCTGCCAGCTGTGTTCATAATTTGATATGCGCCAAATTTGATTCGAGTTTTGCTCTCGACTCGCCCAGACGTCGCTTTAATTAGCTACAGTTGCTGACTTTTTAATGGACAGGCCGAGGAAGAGGGATGGCCCAAACAGGAAAGTAGCCTCGGGGAGTAGGAGGGGGAGCTCGGATGGCAATGGGATTGGGAATGGGCTCTTAGCTACGTTTTATGGCCAGCGTCTCCGATTCAGGTTCGGACTCGGACGCGGACTCGGACTCGGGCTGCTTATCAATTGCGCTTAAATCGCGCACATCAATTACGCGTCTGGCACGTTGCCCCGGCAGGCCTATCAATAAAATGTGCCGCGTTTCAGGTTACGTTTCTCTGTTTTCGAAGCGATTTAATTGAAATACAAGCCATCGGCGGGACGGCCAGCGGCCATCGGACATGGACATGCCGCACTGGCGGAGGTGCAACAGAAACTGGAAGGGACAGGTCCGACGCATTCGAATTAAGCCTAAGCCGTAGGAGTAGAGATCGCCAGCATGGAAATTA